ATCTGGGCTATTTTGCTGTACGATGAACTCTCCAACCTCTCTCTGCCCTAGGGCTTGGCATTTATTATCACGGAATTGTGCGTGTGACAAGTCTCTGTGTTGGCACAGCCGGCTCTAGGGGAGGCAGATCTAGATATTTCTCAGTGTGCTGGCCTTATCAGATGATCAATAGAGATCGACTGATCTGGCCACCACGTGGTAAAAGATTGACACACGTGTGTGGCATTGGATGCCAGCTTCTTTTACGCATGAATAGTTTCAGACTCAGTTTTCTCTGTCCCTCAAACCAACAGCTCTGACTCCAGGGTTAGTAGAATTCTTAGAAAGCAACTCCCGGGGAGAAATAATCACCTTCCTTTCCAATTTCCTTCCACTTTTCTTAAGTACCAATTTTCTTAAGTATTCCAAGTACCCTATCTTTCAGATCAGTTGAATATTTTCCTTTCAGTGACAATCCTGGTAAAAAAAAAAAAAAAGAAAAAAAAAAAAAAGAAAAAATATTTTTCCAAGCCAATCCCATGGCTGATGCCCTGTTACTATGTTGGAATTGGTGACAATTGGAAATCTCTGGTTGAATTTCACAAAAGCAGGACCTTTGAAAGACTGTGCCTACTTTGTATCCGGCGCTGTTCTTGGAGCTGGGGGCACATGCCATCATTAGCAAACGGACAAGACACAAAAAGCGGAGGAAGACAGAGACAGCAAACTTCCCTCGTGGGCCTTACGTTCTCGAAGGTTCTCAACAAATATGAATCTGAGCGAGAATGAATGAATGATAAGCTAGGATGAAGAAGTGATTGCCACGCTAAAAAAAAGGTACATTTTTTTTTTTTTTTTTTTTTTGAGACAGAGCCTCACTTGGTTGCCCAGGCTAGAGTGCTGTGGCAGTCAGCTCGCTCACAGCAACCTCAACTCCTGGGCTCAAAGCGATCCTCCTAGCCTCAGGCCTTCCGAGTAGCTGGGACTACAGGCATGCGCCACCATGCCGGGCTAGTTTTTTTCTATTATATTAGTTGGCCAATATTTCTTCTATTTATAGTAGAGACGGGTCTCGCTCATTGCTCAGGCTGGTTTCAACTCCTGACCTCTGAGCATCGCCGCCTGGCCTCCCAGAGTGCTAGGATGAACGGCGTGAGCCACCCGCCCGGCCAAAAGGTCCATTCTTTCTTTTTTTTTTTTATTGTGCGGTGCCCCTTTTATTTTCTAGCCATGTGACCACAAGCATTTAAGCCACCCTGAATTTCACTGTCCTCATTAGCAAATTATTAGCATATTACTGGTACTTACCTTGGGAGTTGCTATTGGGGATTAAATAAGGTACGAACACTGAGCACGGTGTTCAGGCACATGCAAGGCATTCCATAAATGTCACCTTTACCCTCTCTGGGAGTAGGACCAGTAACTCCCAGCAACTCACCATAACCTAGAAGAGCTCACAGGGTAACACATGCAGGCCTGCAGGTGCGCATGCGTTCAACTTACAAAGCCACGGGAAGGATGTCAGGATCAGGAGGTAGTTTCACAAGTCATCTGCAAATACTTCAGAAGTCTTCCATGGAGACAGGGTTTCTTAAAGGTGGTTTTCTTCGGTTTTTGGACACGGGGGTGCCAGGAAGAGCTGTGACATCATCCGGGTGTAGTAGTACACCTGGAGCTCATCATGCCATAGGTCACTGGACACAGAAGATCCAGAGCAACTCCACGAGGGATCTGACACACAGTCACCCGGCCCCAGCCGCCGGCCACGGGATCCGGCACAAACATCCACATTAAGTCTTTTCTCACCCTTGCCTTCTCTCCTTCCCCGTTCATCCTTCTAGGACATTCTGCTATCTCTCCATTTACCCAAATAATAACATTAAATGGCTTATGGGAAACAAATTAGCATGTTTTTCCCCAAAATTATTAATTTCTTTTATTTTTTCTTTTTTTTTTCCTAAGGGGCTATCCCATGCATTGTATCTTTTAATTTTTTTTTTTTTTTAAGAGACAGGGTCTTGTTCTCTACCCAACTGGAGTGCAGTGGCCCATCTCAGCTCACTGCAGCCTCGAACTTCGGACTCGGTGATTCTCCCACCTCAGCCTCCAGTAGCTGGATACAGGTGCATGCCACCAAGCCCGACTATTTTTTTTTAAAAATTATCTATAGAGGACCGGGCGCGGTGGCTCACGCCTGTAATCTCAGCACTCTGGGAGGCGAGCGGGGAGGATCGCTCAAGGTCAGGAGTTCGAAACAGCCTGAGCAAGAGCGAGACCCTGTTCTACTATAAATAGAAAGAAATTAATTGGGCAATAAAAAAGGTTATACAAAAAAAAAAAAAAGAAAATTGAGCCGGCATCGGTGGCGCATGCCTGTAGTCCAGTACTTGGAGGGCCGAGGCAGGGAGGATCTCTTGAGCCCAGGAGGGTTGAGGTTGCTGTGAGCGAGCTGATGCCATGGGCTCACTCTAGCCTGGGCGACAGAGTGAGACTCTGTCTCAAAAAAAAAATGATGTGGATAATTAGCTGTTCCATAGGCTTTCTGGGTGCTTAAATAAATATAATGACTAAAATCGATCCCGTACAGTGACTGACGCTTAACAAATATCCAAACGCCCAACAGTACGCACAACTTGGGTACTGTAGCTAGAGGGGTGTGGATAATGTCCCCCTTGTTAGGCTCCAAGCCTGCCTGTCACGCTACGACCCGACTAGGACAAGAACAGTCCCCTTTCAATTGTCACATGACCTGCCACCTCTCAAAACTGCACTGGAGCAGAGTGAAGCGTTTCGAGCTCTGATCCATTTGCATTTACACAACAAGGTGTTGGTCACGCAGGTGCACGCCATGTGACCTCTGGCCTCGCCATAACCACGGGGACAACACACTCTGCAAAAAGCCTTCTGTGAATCCAGAGTCGATGGAGGGGAAAAAGTGGCAGGATACAAAGTGACACAAAAAGAGTAAGTATGGGAGGCCGAGGTGGGAGGATCGCTCGAGGTCAGGAGTTTGAAACCAGTCCGAGCAAGAGCGAGACCCTGTCTTGCTAAAAATAGAAAGAAATTAATTGGCCAACTACATATGTATTATATAGAAAAAATTAGCGGCCTGGTGGGATGCTGTAGTCCCAGCTACTCGGGAGGAGGCTGAGGCAGGAGGATCGCTTGAGCCCAGGAGTTTGAGGTTGCTGTGAGCGAGGCTGACGCCACGGCACTCACTCTAGCCTGGGCGACAGAGTGAACTCTGTCTCAAAAAATATAAATAAAACAAAACAAAAAAAAACCAAAAAGGGTAGTAGCGAACGGTCCAAAACCAATGAAAACGAGCATGTAGATTATTTTCAGTTAACTTTACTTAGAATGTACTTTGCATTCATTGATTATATAACCATTCTGGGTTTTTTTTTTTGTTTTTTTTTTTACCTGTGGTTTGGTTGTCCCATTAAGCTCTTGATTAAATTTAAGTGGCTTGATTGCAAAGATGGGTATCTAACTATATGAAGAATATAAATGTAAGTTTTTAGAACTGATTTGAAATGTACTCTTTTCCAATGGTTTTTTTTTCCATATAGTGCTCCATGTTACTACTTTCATTTTTTTTGGACAGAGGTCTCACTCTGCCCGCTGAGTGGATGATCTAATATTAATTCTCTCTT